TCCTTTACTCACCTTTTATTGATCTTGAAACATTGTTGCATTTATTCATGCATGCCATGTTCCTTCTGGTGTCTCCATTTTTTTAAATGCTTATTTATTCGTTGAGAGAGAGAGAGGGAGAGAGAGAAAGAGAGCAGGGGAGGGGCAGAGAGAGAGAGAGAGAGAGAGAGAGAGAGAGAGAATCTCAAGCAGGCTCAACGTTATCAGTGCAGAGGCCAAAGAGGGGCTCGATCTCACAAACCACAAGCTCATGACCTGAACTGAAATCAAGAATCAGATGCTTAACTGACTGAGCCACCAGGCCCCTGTGATCCTTCATATTTAAACAATTGTTTTTTCTACTTCTTTCCTGAATTCTCAATTTCTCATCTTTTTTTAATTCTGTCTTATGTTGTTCTTGCATGTTATTTTTAAATGTGTAGATATGTTTTGAAGCATTTTTGTTTTCATCTGTTTTAGGAGCATGTCGTGATAAAGTGGTATCACTGTAGGCAGGTCATCCTGCAGATTATTTTTCTTTTTAAGTTTGCAAGAACACTTGGGGCATCTGGGTGGCTCAGTCGGTTAAGCCTCCAACTTTGGCTTAGGTCATGATCTCACGGTCCGTGGGTTCGAGCCCCGCATCAGGCTCTATGCTGACAGCTCAGAGCCTGGAGCCTGCTTTGGATTCTGTGTCTCCCTGTCTCTGCCCCTCCCCTACTCATGCTCGCGCTCTCTTTCTCCTTCTCTCAAAAGTAAATAAACATTTAAAAAATTTTTTTCAATTGCAAGTTTGCAAGAACTCTTTAATCTTTTTTCCCCATTGCCCATTTTTAGCTGAAATGCATTTTTCTGAACTTATGGAAGAGACTTGAACTAGGATAGCTTCATTCAGGGCTCAAGAGCCTCCTTTCCTGTTGGTTTTGTGAAGTGTTAAAAAATACAGCACTTACTTCCTTCAAAGTCCTGGCTCTGTTCCCTCTGACTGGACCTTTGCTTTCCTTTGTGTCTCCTGCACCTGCACCGCTTCCTTTGGGATCCTGTCCCCAGCAGTTTCTCCTCAGCGAGGGACTTTGTCCTAGAAGTTCCTGGGACATTGACTGCTCCAGCCCCTGCAGGCCTCACCACAAATCCCTCCCACTCACCCACCGGGGTGTGCAAACCACCCCCAGTTCCAGCGGCCACTCCCGAATTGGCTCACTGCGATTTCAACTTCCTGATCATCATTTGGGGGTTCTTGGGTCTACCAGACGACCTGCTCGTACTCAGGGTTTGTGGGGCTTGTCACCTAGATCTGGCATGGATCTCATCCAGGAGTTTTAGTTTTGCTATCCCAGCCAAATTCTGTTTTTATGGAGTGATGTGGGGAGATCCAAAATCTATACCATAACTGCCACCTTACCAAAATCTGCATTTTTGTTTTTAAATGCCGATCCTGTGTATTTAATCCTTACTCTGTACTCCCAACTACTCCCACACCCAGCAACCACAGTATGGGCTTTAACTGCCAAGCCCCGCCCCCAGCCCTCCCACTGCCCCCCTGCCTCTCCCCTAGGAGCCAACAGCACTGAAGCTGTTGCATGGAAGGGGTCACAACGTGCTTCCTGCTGAGTCTTCCGGTCTTTGCAGAATAAACCCCCCACCTGTGGGGAAACACCAAGGGCAAAACGTGTTTCGTGGCTCGCGGGTACAACCTTGCCTCCTTGCACAATTGCTCACTCCTATCTGATGGGAAATGAAGGATGTGAGTGTCAGGCAGCTGGATGCCAGGACGGGCCCTCAGGTTGCACCAGCGCTAAGGGCTGGGTGGTGGACAGGCCCCTCACACAGTTCGAGTGACGTGGATGGATTTATTTTATCAGTGGGAAGCCAGCCCCTGGGGTGTCCATGGCGTCGGCTCCACATCTGTTCCCTTCCTGGAATCCTCACTTCCTTGTACATTAAACTTCACCAGGAGATAAACTGAAAAGAAAAAGAAAATCAGCTTCCCAGGAATTATTCCATAAATTTAGCCTGCTGCCTGTTTTTACACCCAAACTTTTTGTTTTTATCACGTATTTGAAAGTAAAAAAAAAAAGAGTCCTTTGATCCACATTTTAGCTCCTCTTCCCTCTGAACACTTGCACACTGCAGTTTTATTCTGGTTCTCCAGATTTCTGGGATCAGCTCACCTCATCTTGTCTCTTGGACTTAATGCCAAGACATGAAGATCCAGGCAGGACGCTCCAGGCACCCGGCACCAGGAAACTTTGCTTCTTGGGCTTGAGCCAATTAAATCAAACTTTGCTCTGAGGCTGCCTTGGGAAGTGACAGGCTTAACAGCCCGATGAACAAACAGTGGAGTTGCCATCACACTTGAGTTACGGTCTGTTTAAACTCCAACTCAACTGCAATTCACAGCTCCCACTTCCTGAGAGAGGGAAACCTTCGGGGTCTCAGAGGAGACGACAGTCTGAGTCCTAAAGGGGAGGTCTTCTGACTTTTACAGGGATGAGGGAGGAGAAACATGATTAATACATCCTATCGTTTAAGGAGAAACTTCTTTCAAGTCCAATCCTATGGGACATAGAAATATGAGTTTGTATGTGTGAAACAAACACAATTAAGAGTTGATCTTTGGTGGATCAAAATACATCCTCTTACTGGGAAGCCACATCACAAATACAACCTGAGAACTAGCCGTGTATCTTGCTTTTTCCCACATAGCACGTTGGAATCAATGGTCCTCGAGAGAAAAGACGGGAGGAGGGACACTGGAAATGTTGGCAAGTGTTTTCAGACATTCTGTCAATTTCGGCCCATCCTATCAGTGAAACTTCCTAGGCTGGCACCCTGGTTCTGAATGGTAAAAATAGATTAGCTCATTTCATTTTCTGTTTCCCCAGCTGGAGAAAGTAACAGACATTGCCGACCACGCTTTGGTGAAATGTCCGAAATGTGCTTATATTTATTCATCTTTCAAAGCCATCCAAATCCAAGATATAGTTTAAGATTTAATGAAACTAGTTTTAAAAAGAACCAGCCATACAATGACATAATCAAAACTAATCAGATGTATGTGCACTAATATGGAAAAACAATTTGGATATACTCCCAAGTTAAAAAAGCAAATTGTATAATAGGTATAGAATGACCCAATGTTTGTGCATGATGTGTGTATGTGTGCATATGCGTGCATATACATTTTCTTTTTTATGATTAAGGAGGTTAATTATAACATTTCTCAGATATTAAAATCATAAATTCATAAGCAGAAAATATTCACATATTAAAAAAACTTCCCTCAGTTTCAGAGAACTTAAATTCGAGTTTCGAATTGATAATTTCATCTTGATAGTAGAGAAGAGGAAGACGTACTTTTGGAAGTTACTAATTAATCCATCAAAACAAACACAACTTCAATTTTCTAACAGATTAAAAACTACATTTAGGTTGTATGTACACAACACTGTCAATTCAAAAGGTTTCCATTTCTAATGTTCAGTGTTAAATTCAGACTGGAAACGGTTATCTCTTTTTTTCCACTTGTTTTTAAATGAAGTATAATTGACACACAGCTATGTTAGTTTCTGGATACATATTCTTATATACACATATATTCATCCTACATGTTACTGAGTACTGAGCACAAAGAAAGAAGTTGGAGGAAATATAGAGCAGATTAGTAGCTGTATCTCCAGCCTATGTCTTAGGTTGTTCCTTCAAACAGCAGGCCCTAAGACAAGGGCATGCATGTCAATGGTTTATTGGGGGATGGCCCCAGGAAATGCTGGTGGGAGAAAGGGAAAGTCAAACCAAAGGAAAGGAAGAAAATAAAGGGTCCTAGAACAAGTTACCATGGTGGGAAGTGGGGCTTCATCCCGCTGAGCAACCCCATAACAGTATAGACGACACCCCAGACATCCCAGCCAAGGGTTGAAGAGGTCTGTCCTCCCATGCCCAACCACGATGGTCTGAGGCCCTGGGGGCATTAGCTCTGCAGACTTTGGGAAGCTTGCCCCACGCAGGAGAAAGCCCAACTGGGGCACCAGGGTGGCTCCATCGGTTGAGCATCAGACTTCAGCTCAGGTCGTGATTTCACGGTTCGTGGGTTCGAGCCCTGTGTGGGGCTCTGTGCTGACAGCTCGGAGCCTGGAGCCTGCTTCAGATGCTGTGTTTCCCTCTCTCTCTGTCCCTCCTCTGCTTGCACTCTGTCTCTCTCTCTCTCAAAAATAAATAAAAACTTTTTTGAAAAAAGAGAGAGAGAGAAAGCCCAAGGACGGGGAGTTGCAGGCACTTGCCACAGAACACTGTGAACAAGTGACGAGACATGAGGACTGAGGCGCTATGGGGGAGACACCACAAAACGTATGCTACAGGGTAGACCATGGAAGACTCACTTTCGACAGTATACTCACCAAAACACTGGATTTCCTAGAGAAAAGCAAGAGAGGCTTACAATTAAGTCAGACAATATGTGCGGAGGCCAGGGATCACTCCTCAAAGGGGACCGTCTATCTGGAAAACGCCTGCCCCAAAGGCCACCAGCCCTGGAGATGAGCTCGCCTAACACGCAGGGTGGACAGTGCTGTGAGGAAAGAGCCAGCCGAGACAAAGCACATTTTGACATTTTATTCACTGATCATAAATACAGTCTCATGAATCAAGGTGATCATGAATAATGTACTAGCACCTGAAACTTGGCCACCCCAGAGCAAGTGCTCAGTGCTTCACCATCACTGGCCAGACAACTCACTGCGGCTGATCAGGGCATCTCCCCGCATCGGCGTTTGGCTTTGTAGGGATCCTCCTTCTGGTGCAGCAATTTTATTCTCAGCTCGTTCTCAACAATTTAAAAAATCATAAAAGATTGAGTGTTTGCAAGAAAATATCAAAGAGGATCAGAAGATTTTCAGTTCTTCTTAGAATCTCAAAGTAAAAAGGGGAACTAAGGAAGGAGAGGGAAGGGGACAGATGGCAGGGATCCGCCAGGTTTCTTCCCTTCCTCAGAGCATTTTACAAAAACAAAAACCAGGGAGGCATTAACGCTGTTTGGAGATGGGTTGCGTCTCTCTGATGAGCCACTCGAGGGCTTCCTGGCGGCCCTGTTTCTGCAATTCCTTCCCAATCACATCCCTGCAGGTCAGGTGGTAGTTGTTGAGCCAGTCGCACTGCAAGAGGGGAGAAAGAAAAATGTGGTATTCACCATCACTCCTCTCCCAGAGGCTAAACGGGCAAACGGAGAGGCGTGGCCCAAGTGTGGAGATCACAAGTTGAGAGCAGAGATGCACAAAACTCCCCCCCCCCCACCCCGTTCAGGGACAAGTGACTTCTTTGTGCTCTATTTCCCTGAAATCGACAGGACAAGGCCACATCGCTTATGGTAAAATGCTCCTAGAACAGTCGACTACAGAATGTGGACAATGACTGAAGGAGCAGTAAACACCTGAGAGCAAGTCACGGCCTTGGCTTCCCTGAGCGCAGAGTAACCTGTAACCAGGTATCCTCTCAACAGGACGCCTGGAAGCCATACGCGCAGGACATCATAAGAGGGATGGGCAGGGGGGTCTGGTGGGTCCTTCACTCACCCATGTGGCCTCATTCCCGTACACCTGGGCCATCTCTGGGTGGCAGCGGAGGGGAAGGGTGCCTACCCTAGACGGCTGCTAAGATTCCTGCTAAGAGACACACGTGAAGGTGTCCCACCAACACACGGGCTTTCCTGTCCTAAGTCCGCTGACAAAGCTGAATAAACTAGAATCAGCTGAGCCCACGTGGGTCTTGTGAGCGTGGCTGTCTAGATGAACCCAAAACCTTGGGTGGCCAAGGACTGTGGTGCCACAGGGTGGGGTGGGGAGCTCAACTTTCCAACACTCAACTGAATGTGGCCACCGCCTCAGGAGATTTTTTAAAAGACGTAAGGAGGAAGGAGGTCCACAAGACCTGAGGGCCAAAGTTCTGCAGCCACACAAGGGTGAACTCTCCCCCCTGGGGCAGGGCGGTGCGAAGGCTGGAGGGAAGCAAGTTCTACCCAGAGGACAGCCACCCATTCTCTCCACTGTCCAGGAAGTGGGTCTGACCAGACGCTCAGCCGCAGCAAGGCTGGACAGACTACCACCACCACCATGCAGTTGTTGTAACGAGCCAAACACCACCTGGGGAGGCAGTGGTGTTACAGAAGCACAGGCCTCAGGGACTACAGTCTGCACCAGGTACCAAACACCAGCTCAGGGTCGAGATGGGCACACAGATGCAGTGGTACTGCCACCTGGCTTTGACCCCGCCAGGGCTCCACTCCCTACCGATAAGAACCTACTAGCTCCTGCTGGAGCTGGGGAGCGGGGGAGGGTGTCAACAGCCAGCCAACTGCTATGGGTCAGCAGTGAGGCCGGGCAGGGCTACAAGACAGCCCGCAGTCCAAAGCGGCCAACCCCGGGGCCAGGAGGAAACTCCCACAACCCTTTCAGTTTGTACACACAGCCTCCATGAGGCCTGACCAACTTCCCTAAGGCCCTGAAAACCTGCCGCTGCCCACATTCACGAGCAAAGTCCTCAGCTGCCATCTGGTGACAAGTGATGGGAATGCAAGACCGAACCCAAAAAACCCCTAAAGTAATTGTTGACAGTCTGTTTGGGAGACGGGAAAGGGCGTGACCAAGTATTTTAAGAGCCAAATGGACAGAATCTGGTTGTGGGGTACTACTGTGCCTTCAGACAGAATGAAGCCCCAGATTCATTAAGTGATATATGGAAAGACGTTCTTTGGCCAAAAGAGATAATAAATGTACTCTGCCTGGTATGTTAAGTACATCTACTGTTATCTGCAGAAACTTGCTTATGATCTAAGGATAAGAAGATATTATCTGTCCTATAAAAATTGACAGAAGGAACAGTTCAGTGAATTGGCTATGCGAGGTATGGTAATGAACCACAGATTAAGACAGAGCCACTGGGGGCGCCTGAGTGGCTCAGTCGGTTATATGTCCGACTCTTGATTTCGGCTCAGGTCAGGATCTCACGGTTTGTGAGATCAAGCACCAGATCAGGCTCTGAGCTGACAGCATGGAGCCTGCTTGGCATTCTCTCTCTCCCTCTCTTTCTGCCCCTGCCCCGCTCATGTGTACACGCGCATGCACTCTAATAAATAAATAAACATTAAAAAAAAAAAACCCACTGGTCTATGTCCAATGTCATGGGGTGGACTGTGAGGTTAACAAAACTCTTTCTCCCTCAAAGAAGAATGGTCTCACTCAACCTTCTTCATGCACTATTTCCCTGGATAAAGCAGAATGTCATTGGGAGAAATGCCTCCTGATTAGTTCATTTTATCTAGACGGCAAGGATTGCAAACCCTGGGTACAGGGTAGGAAGCCACGGCCTTGGTCTTCCAAGACAGTAAAGTGACTAATTACTGAACAGTCCCTCGCTAAGACCCTGGAAGCGGTACCCAAGGCCACGGTAAGAGACAGTGGCTCCTGTGGTCACAAAGGATTTAAGCAGGGTGGCTTCCATGCCCACCTAGTGTTCTTGTCCCCTTTCACATTAGCCATTCCCTGCAGAGGCTGGAAAAGACCCCTGCAATGCTGGAGGGACTCTTCCCGTCACAGACACAGCTGACATTGCTGCTAACAGGCTGTGTCGTGTCCAGCACCCTCTACAACCACATCAGTAGGACTCGTTTAGTGCTGCGAGTGGGAATGTCTGGCGGGTCAAGGGCACTGACAGTTAAGCACAGATGTCCACACTAAGCAGGAGGTAGGTGACATTTTCTGTCACCCATCTGTGAGCTGGATGAGGCAGAAGAGGCTTCTAGCTGCAAGAATTCCATCCCACAGTCCAATAGAAGGGGCCTCCTCAAGCCTGAGGCACTTTTCTCCAGGGCCGAGCATGAGGCCTAGGTGTGCGCCACTGAGGATGCCTAAAGAGGCACTTCAAGGTCCCTAGAGTGGGGTCAGTGGCTGCTTTGAGTGATAAAAACATATTCCTATAGAACCTACCACACTTGTCCTGACTTTGGCTCCCATCAGTCATCTGCCTTTGCAGGGACTTCTGACCACCTACCCTGCTCTGGAACTTGTGTCCTTCTGACTTCTGTCTTCCTGGCTTGGGAGCAGTTTTGTCTGTCCAGTGTTGACCATTCCTGCCCTGTCTCTGACCCCTCTCTGCTCTGATGTTGATCACCTGGCCTGATCCCTCAAGGCTTACTCCAGGTCCTGGTGTCTGTCACCTCACCTGGCCGTGTGGGCCTGGGGACCCACCAGCGGACTTGAAGGGGTTTCAAGACCTGTTTCCTTCTGAGCTTGATAGGTGAGCACAATTGTGCTCCTAGCTTTGTGAAGAGTTTCACAGCCCAGAGTGACCGGAATAGTAGCTACCACCTCTCTCCTTTCTGTGTGGAAACTGGGCATATGATAATAGATTTTGCTTTTCATGCCCTTAATGTTTCATTCAACATTAGAAAACAATCTGGTATGCGTAATGGCCAACAGGCCCTTCCACCCATCTGGCTTCTCATAGGGGAGACACATGGCCCACGGTTTGCTAAACACGCCTCAGCGCAGATATGGCTCCTGCCCTCATGGAAACCAATGGCAAATTATTCCCGCTCACGAAACCTTACAGCCCCACAATAGTGCAGGGAGGACCCCTACCTGGAGAGCCAACAAATACAGGAAAAGCACCTACAGACCACAGGAGACCTAGAATCTTCAGACTCAGGTGGCACAGACCTCTAAATTAAAAAGTGAGAACAGACTAGAGAGCATAAGGTAGCTCCCCACCCCCGCTTCCACTCTGTCACCTCCAAGCCACCCTCATTACCTCTTTGTCTGTAAGAGAATCCACATCTATCATTTTGGTCTGTATCGGAACCAAAGTTAAAGGTTCAAAGGTCAGGCTTCCCCGGTTATTGAAGTTGTACTGTTGGAAAAAGAAGAAAACAGAAGCTTTTATTTCTCCCTCTCACAATGAACCACCATGAGGTCATTCCCACCAGCCAGGACCACCCCTCAGGGCCAGGTGTGACTGGGAACCAAGAAGGGGTCAGAGCATTTTCAATCGGCCCAGGAGGCACAATGAACCCAGCTGACGCGACTGTCCAAAAGCTGCTCCGCTGTGCAAACAGCAGCCATCAGAAGCCGAGGGGCTCTCAGCAGCAGGTCCACAGGCTAATGTCCACGGTGATGGAGAAGTAAGGAAACAACATGGCAGTGTCTGGATGAGGGGCATCACTGGTTTTGGTTCTCAAGACTCTACAGCGTATAAGTGTCCGACACCACTTTTATTTAACAGTTAACCGCATGGCCTGTCCTGACCTGCTAGTCTCATCAGGTGACACATAACAGGTTTGTCCATCCTACATAGTATGGAATGGCCACGGCACCTGAGGGCATGCTGGGTCTCTGTTCCTGGCAAGGCCTCTGGGAGTGAGAAGAGAGGTCACTCTCACAGACAGTGACTTCAACATGCAGATCCCTGCAGGCTTAAGAAGCCACTTCTCTCCAACTGTTTGATTTCCAGTCACTCACAGAAGAGGAGTAAGCAGGTCTTCTAAGTAAAGCCTAGCACCTGACGCCCTGCATCCTCTTGTAACAGTGATGGGGAGAAGGAGGAGCCCCTGTCCTCTGCAGGGCACCGGACCTATCTTCTCGCCAGCCTGTGGGGCCTGACCCACAGTATAACTCATGGCTCCTCAGGTTTACCCAATAAAAATCATCTAGGGAATTTGTTGAAAATATAGTTTCCCGGCCCCAGCTCTGGGTCTGGGGTCTGGGAGGGGCCTTTAAATAAGCACCTCCCCCACCCCCTGCCCCTGTAGAGGAAGCATCATGACAAGAAGCTGCCTCTAGCAAACTCAGACCCAAATCACATCCAGCAGGGGCCTGCCTGGGGCTCCATGCATTCCAGTTCTGGGTCCCAGTTCATGAAGAATTTTCTTTTTGGTTTTGCAGAGGAGAGTGATTTCTAGGAAACTCTCCACTATGGGAAGGAAGCTCCATTTCAGCTCCAAAATGGCACACTCTTGGCTCCAAAAACAAACATCTTTATCTTCCCTCATTAGGAAATAATGAAAATTTTACAATAAATAAATACATAACTACCTACCTTGGTCTTCACAGGGACCACTAGGACAACATTTTCAATGCGAATTCCAAAAGCCCCATCTTCATAATACCCTGGCTCTAAAAGACACCAAACCCAGAAATGAGAAGCAGCCCATGATGAACGTGCACATGACCACTCCTGGGATGACAGCCCCACCCGGGAGGGGGAGAGGAAACAGGTGAACAGTCCCCTCAATCCAGGCCCAAGAGCCCAGAGATGCATCCTCCTCCCACATGGCCACTTTCAATAGGTCTTCGAGGAACAGAAAGGAAGGTTCTGAAGTCCCTGAGTACAATAACAGGATCCACCACAGAGATCACAGCGCATATTCATAAGCCATAATGATGCACACATTACAATATATTCACAGAGATCTGTTAATGATGTGGGAAAAGGAAGTACATTAAGAAAGCAGAATACAAACACTATGTCCAGTATAATCTGAATGATTAGAAAAAAGATATATACACATATGAAAGACCAAAAGCTAATACATCAAAATATTAAGTAGCATTTCCTATGGATGGCTGGATTACAAATGATTTTCATTTTCTTCCATATGCTGTTCCACTGTCTCACTTTTTCTAATTTTTTTTTAACGTTATTTTTGAGAGAGAGAGAGAGAGAGAGAGAGAGAGAGAGAGAGAGAGAGCAGGGGAGGGGCAGAGAGAGAAGGAAACACAGAATCCAAAGCAGGCTCCAGGCTCCGAGCTGTCAGCACAGAGCCTGACACGGGGCTCGAACTCACGAACCGCGAGATCATGACCTGAGCTGAAGTCAGATGCTTAACCGACTGAGCCACCCAGGTGCTCCCCATCTCACTTTTTCTAAAATGAACACGTGTCACTTTTATAATCATAAAAAGTTGTTCTTAATTCAAGGAGACAAGAGGGGGAAAGTATATCTAATTTACTTTAAAATAATTAAGTATAAGAAACAACAGAGAGTGTTCAAACAGGCTCAGAGATCCATGCATGCACTGGGTGAGAGGGACACATACCGTCGGTGACGATCATGCCTGCTTCCAACGGCTCATCAGAGAACGTTTTATAACTGATGCCACAAGGACCCTCATGAACATTCAGGAAAGACCCAACACCATGTCCCGTTCCGTGCAAGTAATCCAGGCCAGAATCCCATAAAGCTGAGCGGGCAAATGAGTCAAGAAGGTGTCCTGAAAGACACATAAGAACCACTTGATGCTATTTGTCCAGTACTTTTTTCAATTTGCAAAGCACTTTAGAGATTAGATTTATTATGTTTGGCTCCAGAAGGTGAAACAGAAACCAGCGTGTAAAAGTTACTGGAGGGTTCTGATTTCAACCTGGCACAAGGAAGAGCTAACAATCAGAGCTCCCGAGGACGGCCGCTCCCCAGCCAATCAGAGCTCAGTCTGAAGCCAGAGGATTGTTTGTCCACAAAGCCAGCAAGGGGACGGCCACTGGCAGCAGCTGAGGGTGTTGGCGATAGGGACATTCCCTTCCCAGTTCTGGGACCCGGAGGTTTCAGGATTAAAACCAGACTGCAATAAAAGGAATGCCCAGGGAGATGAGTGCAGGCTCCATCTAAGATTCAAGGTCCAGGTGTTGTCAACTCCCTGTCCAGTGCCCCATCCATCGGTCCTCAAGCAAACTGGCATATATCTGAAGTCAGGTTCCCAGTAAAATAAATCCCGACAAGGATCCCAACCAGGAGGCCCTGGCCCAGCACTGCAGGGCAGAAGGAGGCTGCACCAACTTCCGCTTGGGCCCTGAGGCCTTCACGCCCGGCTGCACTCTCCTGGGAGCCACCTTTATGTGTCATCCGACACCTGAAGTGGTCAGGAGAGAGGTATACAGCCGACATCAAGCCCAAACCTCAGCCTGCTCCCTGGGAGGCCCTCTGAGCTCAGTCAGCGGGTCCAGGAGACTCACTTCCTGTGGCACACCCACCTGCCCTGGACGGGCCTGAAGGGACTGGGGCTGACACGACAAGAAAGGACATGTTCTTCCACTCACATTTAGACACGTTTGGTGTCTGAACAAGAACCAGCCTGTCACATGACAGAAGGAACCACCTACCTTTGGTTCCAGTTGGAAAAACGGCTGCGCTCACAGCTATGTGGCCCTTGAGGACATATGTGAAGCATTCCTGCCAAAGAAAACCCAGGGGGCGTGTTGCAGAACCGGGACAGAGGTGTTAGTCCTGTAGTTTTCCAGCAGTTCAGAAAACCTTGCTTCTGAAGGCTTTTAGCAATACCACAGAGAAAATCAGAGTGAAAAGAAAAAGAAATCTGGTGGAAAAAAAGCTTGGTCATAGGACCAATTTTCCAGAAAATCTTGAAATTAAATTGAGTAAAAGAGAACTGTCAGAGACACGATCCCACAGATCCTTCCCTGGTAATGAACATTCCAATATACTCTGAGCACGAGAAAGCCTGGGAAAGTAGGAGAAAGTACTGGTGAAGCCAGCTAACATTTCCCGAGCGACTCCTCTGTGCCAGGCATGGTAGTAAACACTGATCATTTAATCCCACACTTCATGATGGAGATGCTGTGGTCATCCTCACTTGACAGAGAGATTAACCAGCATGCTGGGTGGCTCACTTCATAAGCAGCAGCATCTGGCCTTGAAGCCAGGCAGTCCTGCTTCGGCCTCTGTGCCCTGACCAGTGTTATACTCGGAGGTTATCCCTAACTGCCTGGATGAAGAAAGTGCTGCTTGGAAGGTTAGGGGTTTGCTGGTAAGGTGCAGAGTTAGGACTAAACCCATACTCTTCAGTCTGGTCTGGAATTCTTTCTCCAGAACAAAAAGAGTCACACCAAAGGTATATGGACCCAAGGTCAAACTCCTCTGAGGGGCTCATGCCTACAAATAGATGAGGCACAGGACCTGAAGTATGAAGCTTGCTCTGCTGCACTGCCTAAAACTCTCTTCCTTGGATAAACTTCCTGCAGAAGTTCCCAGAAAAACAGATTCACTGAGAATCAACCAACACTCACTAGGTAGTGACTGATCCGGGAACTTGCAAGGTTCATGGAACCTTTACAACCAGCCCTGGAGGCAGGTACTCTTATCCCCATTTCTATGGTTGTGTCTGTGTGCTTTACTCAGGGTCACAGAGCCAGTAAACAGTAGAGAAGACCTCAAGTCCAGACTCTAGATTCCTGGTGCACATCTCTCTACCTCACTGCTATCTCCTCCTTTCCAGGCCAGACAGACCAAAAACTGAGCAGTGTATATCATTTCAGAGGGTTCCTACGGCTAAGCCTATAAATGGAAATGCTGAACTTGAAAAAAGAAGGGGGTGGCTTTCAGAACCAAATCTAGATGCTGTTTGTAAAAAACGTACATTTCACTACCCCATTCCCATCCCTAGAGATTTCCTGACTCAAGAGAATACTACTGACGCTGTTAAACTTGAATCTGAGTTCCTTGACCTTAGCAGACAGAATGCTTTTAAAATGTCTCCAGTAATTAATTAAATGGACATCATAAAGCAGATAAGCCTGACTCCACAGTAATGAGCTATTTTACTATCCCACATACAAATTTTACTTAGTTACACAATTCCTTTTCATAAAAGCAATGCTCTTACGAAAGCAGAGAGGCCCTCTCAAGTTTTCTGCTCCACCTTACCTTCTCATAGGCTGTAGGGGTCCCAAAATGCATGGTCCGTGTCACATCTGTGGTTCCATCCCTTTCCAGAAGAAAGGACAAATTAGTTTTCACTCCAAATAAGCTTTTGCTCAAATATGAGGTAGGTGAGGCCACTGCTGGTGGCCACGTAAAATAGTGCAGCCACTTTGGAAAGTAATCTTCAGCTCCTTAAAAGGTTATAAATATGGAGTTACCACATGACCCAGCAATTCCACTCCCAGGTAAATGCCCAAGAGAAGTGAAAATCTAAAAACCTGTATACAGATGAACATAAGGGAAGGGAAGCAAAAATCACAAGGAGGGGGACAAAACATAAGAGACTCTTAAATACAGAGAACAAACTGAAGGTTGCTGGAGGGGTTGTGGGTGGGGGGATGGGCTAAATGGGTAAGGGGCATTAGGGAGGACACTTGTTAAGATGAGCACTGGGTGTTACATGTAGGGGATGAATCACTGGAATCTACACCTGAAATCCTTACAGCACTATATGCTCACTAACTTGGATGTAAATTAAAAAATAAATTAAAATAAACTAAGAAAAACCTGTATACAAACGTTCACAGTAGCATTATTCATAAAACCCAAAAGGTAGAAACAACTTGAATGGCTATCAACGGATAAACAAAATGTGGTATCTATACAATGAATATTACTTAGTAATTACAAGGAATAAAGTACTGACACACACTAGGTCACGAATGAACCTTGAAGACAGAAGCCAGACAGAGAAAGCCATACAGTATATATAATTCCATTTATAGGAAATGCCCAGAATAGGCAAACCCGTAGAGAGAAAGTATAGTAATGGTTTCCTAGGTAGGAGAAAATGGGAAGTGACTGCTAATGGGAATGGGGTTTCTTTCTAAGGGTGATGAAAATGTTTCAAAATTGCTTGTGGTGATGGTTGCACAATTCTGTGAATATACTAAAAACCATTGATTGTACACTTAACGTGAGTAAACTGTATGGTATGTGAAGTATATCTTAATAAAGTCGCTTAAAAAAACTAAATGAGACAAAGTAGGAATGCAAGGATGGCCTCATGTACTGAGAGTTAAACTCGTCAGGCCCTAACACGCACAATGCGAGGACTGTTTCATGGGAGACGCTGTCACTGGGGTCATAAACGAGGGGGAAGAGGACAAAGTAAACAGGAGCCTGCTTCTATCAAAAGGGGGCCGGGGCGCCTGGGTGGCTCAGTCAGTTAAACGTCCGACTTTGGCTCACAGTTTGTGAGTTCGAGCCCCGCATCTGGCTCTCTGCTGTCAGCACAGAGCCTGTCTAGGATCCTCGATCCCCCCTTTGTCTCGGCCCCTCCCCCATTTATGCTCCTCTCTCTCTTTCTCAAAAATAAATATGAAAAAGAAAAGAGAGAGAGAGCCAACCTCCAATTCCTCCCATCAGGACAACAAAGGACTGAACCCTAAAAATACCCAAAGGTATGGGGCGCCTGGGTGGCGCAGTCGGTTAAGCGTCCGACTTCAGCCAGGTCACGATCTCGCGGTCCGTGAGTTCGAGCCCCGCGTCGGGCTCTGGGCTGATGGCTCGGAGCCTGGAGCCTGTTTCCGATTCTGTGTCTCCCTCTCTCTCTGCCCCTCCCCCGTTCATGCTCTGTCTCTCTCTGTCCCAAAAATAAATAAACGTTGAAAAAAAAAATTTTATAAAAAATACCCAAAGGTATCTCTTAGAACACACTAATCCATACCTGTGACACAGAAAGGATAACTTCTAGAATCCTGCTAAAATTTAGAAGCGAACCAAAATTTACACCAGTAGCCAAATAATCTCAACACCCTCAGTTCTAGGCTGTTACCATGAATACCAACCCATGTGTCCCAAGGCTAGGCTGTGGTTTCCATGCACGGGGTGAAGCTCACTTAAAGATCAGGCTCCCCCTCAGCCATGGTCCCAACTGCAGTGGGAATGGAGCATTAAAAGGCCTTGCTCGTGCCCTCTTCATGCAGACAACACCTGTTCCAGCTCCCTCTCATGGCTTCCACATTGAGACCCAACCAACTCTTGGGTTCTCCTCTGAGAAACTTTCTAGAGGATAAGTGTGAAAAGGAGCAAGATATAAAGACGAAAATTCAGAAATTTGGGGGCAACCTAGTTTCTCATTCATTCATTCAAAATTAATCCCTTACCTCCCAAGGCCCTGAGGCCACTACAAGTCCAGAGAGCTAGCAGGTGGTTTATGAGCTAGAGCAGAAGCCTTTCCAGTGGTTTTGAAAGCTTGCTTTCAGTTATTTAGTATTTAACAACACTCGGCCAAGAACTAAACATTCCTATCAAACAGTCTTTTGTGGGAAGAGTCACCACTGGGCTCTTTCAACCACGGGTGGAAAAAAAGGACAAGACACGGGAATGAGTCCATTAGCGGCAGGTGCAGAGTGAGAATCTCAGCTGAGTGCTCTCGGCTGGAGCCTGGCTTGCCCATTCAACTGCTTTGAGCCAACATCGTCAAGTTCTACGGCAGCCCTAGTTCACTTACTTGTATTGAGCTCCCGAGTCAATCAGGTACACCTCATCTAGCGACAAGGTCCTATTCGTCTCAGGGACTGGCCTAAGAAAGTTAATTAAAAATTAATTAGTCCACAAATGTAAACACTTCCTGAATCTGGGAGGGGGACAAATAAGAGTTCCTTATACTATTCTTACAACTTAGGTTAAGTCTGAAATTATATCAAAATTAAAAGTTACCAACTAAATTAATTATTCCAAATAATTTAATCTTCTAGAACTAGTCAAAGACCCAGTCGACCTATCTCCCCAACTGGATAAAGAGATCAAGAGAAGGAAGAACAACATATCTCTTTATATCTAGCTCCATATGTGCTTGGAACAAAAAAGATGTTCATGAAATAATTGTAAAAGTTACAAAAATAATAATCATTAGATGCAGCAGGACCAAGCTAGAGTCCTCAGAACTGGGAATATAGCAGCCAGGAGTCACTTGTCTCTGGGTGTGGGGGTCCCAGGCCCCAGCCTCAGCCTCCATGTAACTCCCTCAGTCCTGACCCCATCAGGAGCCTCCCCACTTGCTTCCTAGGCCACCAGACAGGCAGGAGGTAAATTCCTCAATTTGGGAGGAAAACTAAAGGGATTTTTACTGGGAAATGAAGTAGATCACAATGTTCTTACGCCAAAGCACTTTTTCTAAATGAACATGAAGCACTTTTAAAAAGTGATCTGATTTCCCCAGGCCATTTCCAGACAGTGTCACTGAACTGGGAAATGCTACAACGAATAATAGCACTGCAAGTCTCTTCCCTGCCGCTGAGAGAAGGACTCCTTCATTTCCAGGCACCACCCCCTCTCCAGCACTACGGGCATCAGTGGCTACTTGGGCCGAACGACTGAAAAAGACAACCAGACATGGAAGCAACGTCCTGCTTCTCAACAGGCTTCCAGCAGCCCATTGTGAAAACATGCCAAAGTAGAAGCAGGCTTCTCCCCCATTTGATCGGAGTTCTTTTTAATGTGTTAATTACATGTAAAATTCTAGGATAGTATCCAGCCAAGAAATTCATCACCTGAATTAAACATAAGACAAAAACTGGAGTCCTTTTGATATTTTAATTTTGGAACAGAAGCATTAATACGAGAGAGCTGCACAATCACAGCTGTGACTGTCTCCCACACAGCTTCAAAATCTGCCCCAAGACTAAAAGCTCTAAAAGCAACTATTAAAAGGGGGTGGGGGTGAATCTCTGCCCAAGTACAGCCCAGTGAGACAGACCAAGTGATCTTCCCCCAGACTGTGTACCTCAGACATGGAGCAAAGAACTCAGAATGTCCAACACAAGGCAAATCCATTCAACTGGGCAATTCTGAAAGCTGAAGCCTGATAACCAAGCCAAGTTCCATTTCCCACCATCTCCACAGACAGATCAGCCCTAAACTTATCAGTGCCCCTCCCATCTCACAGTGCAGGGAATGCTCAACTCTGTGAGTCCACAGGCTCTTATAGGTCATCTGCTAAAATGCCTCATAGGCTGGGTGCCAAGCCCACAAGGAGGGAAGAAAGGGTGCTGATTATCTCCCTAACCATAATAGTATGCTCAACAACCTCATGATAAGTTTTTTGGTATGGAGTGATGGAGCTCACAAAGATGTCGGGACTCCTGCATCAAGATGGCTGCCATTATCAAGAAAGACAAACACCGATCACCATGATCAAGAGCTATGAATACAGCTTCTGTAGACACAGAAAGGAAATGGGGACAACCCATTTGACTACATCCTGAAGAATGTCAGTGCCATACACCTGAGCCTAAGTGGAGGCTCCCAAAAGGCAGAGAGTGGGAGATTGAGAGAAAACAAGACCTCATTTCACATATAAGAACAGCCTCAACAGACAACATGGGGGTGGGCACTGGGGCCTCTGGTAAAATAATGTCTCTCCCCTGCTCAGGCTCCTGTGCAGAAGCAGCAGCAAAGCCAGGCAGCGTGCTCCTCCGCATGCCTTACGCGTAGTGAATGATGGCGCCATTGGGTCCCGTACTGGAAATCGTTGGGAAGCTCAGGTCCACAAAGTCAGCCTGTTGTCTGGAACAGAAAGATACAGAGAGCACAGCGGCTTCCAGAATCTTATTGTGCCAGCAATCAGGGCCCTCTCAGCCTCATTTAAGTTGCCAAAGAAATGACCACAAGGTTCCTGCGCACACGGATCCGTACCTGCGAAATTCCTCAGCCTTGTCGGCAGCTGAGATCTCCGACACACCACCTTTGGGCACCTACAAGGAAGTTGCTCATAAGTCATCTGGAGTGATAAATTCACGTGTTTATTACATGTTAAAAGGGATGCATTAAAAGCTTATTTTTTCCTCAATTCCCATGTCCTGGCTGTCCAACCTATGGGACACAGCTGAGGTCTTGTCTTCAACAAGGAGGGAACTTTCTAAGACTCTTACCAAAGCAATCTAAAGTAGAAGGGTTTAGGGGCCCCTGGGTGGCTCAGTCAGTTAAGCATCCAACTTCAGCTCAGGTCATGATCTCACGATTTGTGAGTTCAAACCCCATGTCAGGGTCTGTGCTGACAGCAGCCTGGAGCCTGCTTCAGATTCTGTGTCTCACCCTCTCTCTGCCTCTCCCCCACTTGTGCTCTGTCTCTATCTCAAAAATAAATAAAAAATTAAAAAAAAAAAATTAAAGTAGAAGGGTTTCTATTTTTCACTTAACTCTCTGCCCCAGTGTTATACCCTAAAACCTCCCCAAACTTAATCCATCTAAGTTGAAAAATTCAAAACCATCTCCTGCTAGGATATTGTCCTGCAAAAGTCATCCTAAATACGTAAAGAAGATAAATGAAAGATATTATTACAAGGTGATTAATAACGGCCAGAAAATTAAAAAGGATCTAAACACCTGAAAATAGGAGCAATGGCAAATTGGTCTAACCACTAAACGCAACCTCTCTGCTTGGATCCTTCTGTTTGTTAAATTTTTTTTATTCGAGTATAGTTGACACACAGTGTTATGTTAGTTTCAGGTGCACAACACAGTGATTCGTCATCTCTATTTATGCTATGCTCGCCACAAGTGTAGCTACCATCTGTCACCTCACAATGCTTTTACAGTTTGGATCCTTTTTTTAAGGCCTCAAAGTACATGGAAAATGCTCACGCTGTGGTGCTAACGGAATAAAATAAAATACAAAATCGTATGTATACACTGAGAGATGTGTAAAACTTATTTACACAGAAGGAAAATAGCCAGAGAGAATAAAATAGTTACACACAGGGTGATACCCTTCTTCCAGTGTAAGCTACTTTTAAAGAATTGTTTATATAATATTTAAAGGGAACATGTGATTGTTTAGTAATGACACAAAGAAATCCTCCTGCTGTCAACCATAGGAATGAAAGGGCAAGAAACTAATGGCCAAGAGTCAATTTACTATCAAATAAAAAGTTTTAAGTCTTAAACTGAAGTACACAAAGATCTTTTTCTCTTAATATAATCAGCTTGCCTAGAATATTATTGTGAGTCATTTTTCCTCATAATGAAATTCCACTCAGTTATAAGACAATGCCTTGACCCAAAAAGGATCCTCTCTGTGAAGGAAATTCTGTCTTCATCTGTGTTACTATTTTCTACAATTAAAAAAACTTCTAAATACACACACACCAAATTTCCAGAAAGAACTACCAAAAGTAAGGACTAAAATTAGATCAAGACCTTACACCTCGTGGTCACCAGAACATGGAGGTGCCACAGTTTGAATCACATGTTGAGAACTTCTGAATAATCTACATCCATGTGTTAAAACAAGACGAAGAACCAACCTCTTTCTCCAGCCAGTTAAAGAGTTCACAGAGGGCAACAGCATCTTTAATCTGTGCAAAGAATAGAGACAATTTTTTTTAAGTTATTACTGAAAATCAGCTGGGTAAATTCAGTGCCCAGCCCTAACGTGGTTCTGAGAAAGCCGGACCCATCAGGCACAACCGGGGAAGGGCCTGCCGAGAGCAAAGGCAAATCCCTCAGTGGATTCATTCCTGCCCTCCAGAGGCAGGAAAGACAAGCCACTGGCAAATGCCATCTGTGGGCCTCAAATCTTTCTAGACCCACCACTGGCCTTGAAACATACCTTGGGCCTTTTAAGAGGCATCACCTTCTTATTCTTCTTCTTCTCCATCATAATCATCATCGTCGTCGTCGCCTTTTTTGTGTTATACATTGTACTTTATAAAGATCTAGCCCACTGAGTATTCTACTTCATTTTCTCACTAACGCTGGAAGGCTCAAAAAATTTCCGGCCTTGTGCCAGGCTCAAAGCCACACAGCAGATGAGGGACTGGGCCTTCCAACCACCATACACACCCCCTTTGCACGGGCTGCTTTACTCACGTGAGCTCGCCGCATGCCTTCTGATTCGGCAGAATTCTTCACAGCTTTGGCGATGCAGATGGGGGTGTAAGGCATACAGCATCGATGATCCTAGGGGCAAAAGGCGTAATATGGGAAACTGAGTCTGGCTCCACTCACCCAAGACCAAGGCAATCACCTCTTCACCCAGCACATCAAGACAGGTCATGTGAAGAGCTCCCATTCAGGACCCATGGAGCTGTGCCTGGGGATCGAAGTCCTGCCCCTTTTGGTTGAAGACTCTGAGCATGACAAGAGGGGCTCGAACGCTTCCAAAAGGTAAAGTACATCAAACAAGATTATTTTTCTTCTGTCCCCCACATCTTCAGCTCTCTGGCACTGCTGGCTGCCGGCCATCAGGAAGACACTGCTTTTCAAGCTTCCATGGTCATGGTCAGAGTCCATTAACAGATCAAAGCTTGACTGAAATAACCCCTTTCTTGAAAAAGCACAAAGGAGGCTTTTTCCCACTGGGGACACACACGACTGAGGGAGGGCTCCTGCTCCTTCCCATCTTGCTCAGGGATCACAAATCACCTACTGTTCACGATCTGATCGTAAAGGGCTGGGGAAGACCCTTCCCAATGAGAACGAGTCAGAGGCCAGCCCTGCACTCCGGGAGGGGGGTTTAGGATCACCTTGCACTCGCACAGAGCTTGTTGAAAGGCTTTCATTCCTTCTAGGCTCCTTATTCCCTCACTCCTACGTGCAGAGCCCTCATGAAACAGAGAAGGCAGGCATGATCCCCTAACTTAGGTCAAGGAAACAAATCTCTGAGCAGATGAGTGTCACACAGTGTGAGAGTGGCAGGGCGTACTGGCAAGCCAGGTCTCAGTGGGCCAGGCCTGGGCTCTTTCCAGGATGGAGAAGAGAGGAGACCCCTGGGCTTGCTAAAGGGCACTTGGCAGCCAGAGGCTCCAGACAGGATGTTCGAAAAGGCTACAATCCAAGGTGGCTTGGATTCCAGTCATGCCCTGGGCCCTAGTTAAAATGAGAGGACAGGTGTTCACTGCTTAGAATAACCCAACAGGGGCTGAGTAAAGGGCAGGGGTATCACTATCATTTGACTTTCAACAAGTCCCCAACTTCCCAAGCCTCTCTGGGCCTCCAGTCTCCTTAGCTGTAAAACGTGGTGAGGGAGGAGCACACGCAGAGTAGTGTTTCCCAGAGTTCTCCTACCACCTACACAGCTCTTACACCGGCTGCCAGCCCTCCTGACCTTTACTTCTTTTCTTTAGACCATCTTTATTTAAAAAATATTTTTTTAAATGTTTATTTATTTTTCGAGAGAGAGACAAAGCACAAGCAGAGGAGGGGCAGAGAAAGAGGGAGACACAGAATCTGAAGCAGACTCCAGGCTCTGAGCTGTCATGGGGCTCAAACTCACGAACGGCGAGATCATGACCTGAGCCAAAGTTGGACACTCAACCGACTGAGCCACCCAGGAGGCGCCCCTCTTTAGACCATCTTCAAATCAACTTAGTTTGTTAAATTCTGTCTTAAGAAACAATTTTTATATCATCATGGTCTCAAATACTAGAAATAGTTTTTCTAGTATATGCTGAATTGCTTTTAAAACAGAGAATATTTAAATAAACCTAAGTATTAGTATATACCACCTAAAATCATCTCTCATGCCACACTCTGGACAACACAGGACTCAATGAGTTCTAAGGGCCCTCAGACTCTCAACATGGCTCTAGCCCAAAGGGCTCATCTAGGGAGAGGACATCTCTGATCTGACAATCAGTCCCCGAGATCTTCCAAAACAACCTCTGTTTCAAAGACAAAGCTGCATGATGCCAGAACTGGGAAGGGGCTGGCAGCTGGAATGTGGCCGACTTTGGATGGGCCTCAGCAGGGCTACCAACCTTGGGGATGGTCTCGCTTACGGCGTAGCTGGCCTTGTCGCTGACCCACACCTTCTCCCTTGGGGAGAGATTGGCACACAGAGCCTTGAGCTCGCCCAGGATGGACTTGTAGGGAAGCACCTGGATTCTGTATTCGGCTTCTAGGCCCATGTCAAAAAGCAGATGCTCCTTCACACTGGGGGCATCTATGCGGTCACCATCAATGAAGAGCCTGCAGAGGGGCCAGGGGTAAGGCAACAGAAAAAGGAGGACACGTGAGTGAGGGGGGGAAGCACACACCCACACATACACAACAGGCTCCACCTTCTAGCAACCAAAACCAAGCAGTTCCCCTTCCTCCCCATTCCCTTCTCAAATCCTGCTCCCCAAACTGTGTCCCTATCCCCGTGTATGTTATCACCATCCACTCCATTCCCCCAACCGGGACATGGACACTGTCCCTTCCCGCCACTAAGATCTTTGGGCCTATAGTGTAAATCCTGATCAAATCTGTCCAGCTTTGACCGTGGCCTTGTCTAGTCACCAGCCAGGTTCAGGCTGCCCCCATCTCTCTGCTGGATTAGCACCAGAGCCTCCTAACTGGTCTCTGCATCCAGTCTTGCTCCAGCCAGCACAGTTTTCCCAGTCACAGTATTCTTTATGATTTACAAACCTGATCATGTGGTTCCCTGTGAAAAAGTCGTTCAATAGCTCCCCAGTGTCCTCAGGATAAAGGTCCGAGCTCCTGGACACCGCTCATGGGCCTTCCTTTAGGTGGCCCCTGCTCACCTTCCAGCCTCACACTCTATGTTCCCACCACACTGAACCACTCCAGGCCCTCCTCAGGCAGTGTGCTCTCTCCTGCCCAGAGCCACTGAAAATGTCATGCCCTCTGCTTAGACCACCATTCTCCTCACTCCCAGCTCACCTAGCCAACGCACATGCACCCTCGATCTCTGCTTCGATATTACTTTCCCCAAGAGTCTCCTCTGATGCCCAAGTTTAGGTCAGGCCCCTCCTGTAACATCCATACCCATCCCACTGACAAGTCAGTGCCCACTTACATGCCCTGAAGCCCCTGAAGAGACATTCATCCCCCAGCTCCAGCCCAGCACCCTGTCTCATTCACCCTAGCACCCAATAGAGACCCTATCAACTTAATAAATGTTATCTGAATAAAGAGCCATCCAAATAAAAGAACAACTGCAGGAAGGCCACAAGCAATGCTTTAATACATAAAGTTTGACGGGGGGGGGGGGGGCTTCCGGAGTCATTTCTGACCTTCCAAATGCCTGGGTTTATTTGAACTAAGGACCCAAGACTGTATAACTGAGCCTGTACATCCCTTTGCAACTGGCTGCTACAAAATTTAGAATCAAATGTGTGGCCTGACCAAGACTTTGCAGCAGGAATTTTGTGAAATAGCTTCATTCTGGTTTTGTTCTGATGTCCTGCCTAGTTTGTTTGGTTTTTTTCCTATCTTCTAGTACTGGAGAGACTTTCATAGATTTCAAGGTATTTGGGAGATTAAGAGAGAGGCAGGATGTAAAAAAAATACCTGCTGTTAAGGAAGACAAGAAGGGAAAGGAAAGAGGAGCGGGAAAGGGAGAAAGCAGAAGAAAAGCAGTGCATCAGCGGGATGTCAGGTAGTGACGGGGTCGACCAGCAAGGGGAGACGGGGAATCTGAGGAGCTGTGAGGAAGGAAGGACCTTCCAGTGTGGCCCAACACTCACATGATCGTCTCCAATCCTATGATTGCATAGGAGAAAAACACCGGATTGTGCTCCACATCTGATCCTCGGAGATTGAACAGCCCTTAAAAGAAAAAAATAAAAGCCCCGTCACTTGCTTGACTTGAGATTACAAGAGAGAGCCTGTAGGGGGAGGGAAACGCTTCAACATCCATGGAAGGCTTCCATGGAAGGACTCCGTGACATCTCTCAGAAAAGCCGGAAACCTCACTTCCTGGTTCCACTTGGAGCTGCAGTCGCTCATGCCCGCCAAATGATGGCACCAAAACTGTTTCTTATGCTACCATATTGCTGTCCCGGGAACAGAATGGAAGTTAGTCAAAAAACAGGAGGATTACCCTCCAAAGAGTTGAAATTGTCCCCCTGGTGGTGACCTGCCAGACCTGGCCTTGCTGCAGCAAACCGGCATTCCCAAGTAAAGGGAAAGGAGCCAAGCACTCTCTCCCTTCTGAAGCAAACAACGTCCTCAGGTAGAAAGACTGAGACCCACCCAGGATGGTGAGGGAGCCCAACAAGGCCCTCCGGCTAAGAGTCAAGGAGCCCCGAGGAGGCGGAGCTTCCCAGCAGAGGAACAAAAGCAGGGAGTGAGTGGTGGTGGCCTTTAAGCCCAAGAATGAAACCCGTATCGGAGCCCACCCAAGGGTCAGCTATGATACCGAACTGGAGTGGAGGCCCCGCCTACAGCCAGTGTTAAAGGTGTTTGGGGAGATCACTGTATGTTTGAAGGAGTTTGGGGAGATCACTCTATGTTTAAAGTCTGGGGAGATCATTGTATGTTTAAGAAACTAAAGTGGCCAGCAGAGAGAATAGCTAGGGTCTCAAAGCTTCCAGATGCCTAATGCTTGCTCTCCTGAAGAATACAGTATTTAAAAACTCGTAGTGAGAAAAGCTCTACGTCTATTTTAAAATAATGGCTTCTCACAACAAAGCAATGAAGCTTTACCTATCAGATGAGCAGTTTAAAAATGACAGTACCAGGGCACCTGGGTGATTCAGTCGGTTAAGTGTCTGTCTGACTTCGGCTCAGGTCATGATCTCAGGGTTTCTGAGTTCAAGCCCTGCTTCGGGCTCTCTGCTGTCAGCACAGAGCCTGCTTCAGATCCTCTGTCCCCCTCTACCTCTCTGCCCCTTTGCTGCTCACACTATCTCTCTCTCTCTCTGTCTCTGTCTCTGTCTCTCTCTCAAAAAATAAACAAACATTACAAAAATTTTTTTGATAAAATTTTAAAAAATAAAAATGCCAGTACTTGGGACTGGGAAGGGTGTGGCAAGACAGGCATATTCCTATCCACTGTAAACAATTCTAGCAGGTAAATGGCAAGATGGGTCCAAAGGCCTACCACATGCACACCCTCTAACCCATAATACCACCCCTGAAAGCAACCAGAAATAGAAGAAAATCATCAGAAACCAAGACACAGATTTTGATGCACTAAGATTTTGATGGCGGCATCATAATAAAATCATGAGAAAATCAAAAATAACCTAAGGTCATCCTTAAGGGAATGGGTAAAGTAAATTATGGTATAACCAACCATATGATGGGATATTTATATTTACTTAAGTTACGATTATACATGCTTAAAGTATGCTGATACTTTGGAAAAAATCAAGCTTCAAAATTATATACGCGCCAAATATTAACAGTGATGATCTCTGGGTAACAAAATTGTAGGTGCTTTTTTTTCTTTTTCTTTTTACTTCCTCTACATTTTCCAGGTTTTCCACAATGGGAGTGTGTTTTCTTAAAATCAAAGGGAGAAATTAACTTTATATATGTTATTTTCCCTGATGTCAAGGTTATTAATTAATTAAGGATATAAGTCACTGATACATGTCAAGTATCACTGATATCTGACAAAGTTTTGGGGCTGGGGACTGGAGACATAGGACACTGTGTAGTAGGGTCTCTTTCTCTAATGAGAAAATTAAAAAATGAGGTAGTGCCTCTTCTCAGTCACCCTGGGTCAAACCCAGTCAGAAAAGGAAGACAGAACAGGAAGATTCACCAAGATTCCTTCAGGTTCTAGAGGATGACAGGTACTAAACAATTGCATGCAGGTTGTTTAAGGTCTAAAGATTCAGAAACTGCTATCGTATCAAAAAAGCTGGTGAAAAATATTTATAGTTCCTGAGTTTTCTGAGGTACAAATATTTCTAGAACATGGGGTGCCTGGGTGGCTCAGTCAATTAAGTATCCAACTCTTTTAATTTATTTGTATTTTTTTTTATGTTTGTTTATTTTTGAGAGAGACAGAGACAGAGACAGAGAGAAACAGAACACAAGTAGGGGAGGGGCAGAGAGAGACACACAATCTGAAGTAGGCTCCAGGCTCCGAGATGTCAGCACAGAGCCCGACATGGGGCTCGAACTCACAAACCACACGGTCATGACCTGAGCTAAAGTCAACACTTAACCAACTGAGCCACCCAGGTACCCCATAAGCTTCCAACTCTTGATCTTGGCTCAGGTCATGTTCTCATGGTTCATGAGTTCAAGCCCCATTATCAGGCTGTGCGCTGACAGTGTGGAGCCTGCTTGGGATTCTATCCCTCTCTCTCTGCCCTTCCCTTGCTTGCTCTCTCTCTCTCTCTTTCTAAATAAGTAAATAAAAACAAAAATTTTTTTAAAAGAGAAATATTTCTAAAACATTCTCACTGTGAAGAACACAGGGGCCTAAAGAAAAAGTATAGAGAAAAAAATAATCTCCTATGGTGCCACTTCTACAGCTATAAAGAGACATGAATATTGATAGACACAAAATACTGACAGACATTAAGTGTTAGGAAGGAATGTCCTTCCTCAGAGGTGTCCCAGTCCTGAAGAGACTGGTCAGAGGTGGACATCCACCATAGATTTAACATCAGCCCCTAGCTGTAATACCACTTTGGGCAAAGCTACATTCCCCTCTCCCATCCTCTATAATTCTTTCTCCATCCTACTTGGTGCATCATATACCCATTGGTGACATAAGTCTTTTGTTTATTCCCTGGCCACTCAGAAAGCTGATCTGCACGAACACACAGATTCCCAGAGAACCAAGGGAGAGACCGGGTAACATGCCCAAACAGTAAAGCCAGAGCACTCACACGCAATCTCATCCAGGGCAGTGACCACAAACCACACGACGTTCCTCTCGGCCATTTTCAACCGAAGGTCTGCAACCTTGTCCTTCCAGGAGATGCCTGCAAGAAACAAACGTGCTTGCGGCTCTGGCCCTGGTTCCAGGGACCCACGGGAGCCAACTGAAAGAACCCATCCCAAACATTCTGAGCCAGCACCACCTGTTATAGGGAGCATGTTGGTTGAGCCAACAGGAGGCCTGGATTTAAGCCTCTGTCCAAACCTGTTGACTTTCAAGAGCCCTGACTGCCTCACCGACAAAATTGATACATTTGTTCATCCAACAAATGTCTATGAAGCACCTAGACTTCCCAGGCATAGGTATCTGCCAGGCACTGTGCTGGTCACCGTGGCTACAGCTCTGAGTTATACCCAGTCCCTGCCCTCAGGGGGCTTACAACCTAGATGGGAAGGCAAATAATTAAACCAGCAACAGTTACACTTCCGTGTAAAAACTGGCACAACAGCAGAGGCACAGGGAGCTACGAGAACATACTGCCCAGGAGGGAAAACTCACCCAGTCTTACAGGCCAGGGGAATACCACCCACTTTACGTTCTTGGAGCCGAGAGACTCGCCCTTTGGTGCTAAGACCTAGGTACTCCCTGCAATCTGACTCACTGGGACCACTACTTCTAAATCACACTTGCCCTGTCATAGCCAGGGCCTCCCTGTGGCTCTCCCGATGGAATGGTAGCCCTGGGGAAGCTCACCCCATCACTACCACGACCACCACAATCCCCACCACGAAACGGTACTTTCACCTCCGGTTACAGCCACCTGGGAACAGGACGACCCTCTGTCTTATTCACCCAGCACCTGGCATAGTGTCCTGCACATAGTAGGGTACTCGTGTTTGTTGAACACAAGTCTTACCCCCAACGTCTGCTCTCCCCTCTCCTACAAGTAATAGGTCAGCGCCTCTGATTCAGCTTCTAAAAAACTCAAAACATGCGAATGGAAAATGTCTAGCTGACCCTGGGCCACTCCCTGGACCTATCCCCCTGAATCTGAGCTACCCTCTGGTGAGGGCATCACAAGGAGAGCAAGCTGGGGGCTGCCCCCACAACCAACACCGCTTTGAAGATCAGCTCGGGAATGCTGTTTAAAACTTGGCAAGAGTCTGGGCTATAATGCTTTCTTCCCAGGACCCCTCTGGGCAATCTGCCTACATTCCAGACATCCCCCATCCACCTCTACTCTGCTGTTTCTACCACACGACTTCCTCCCCTTCAGCCCCACCTCCCTGGCCTCTCTGTGTATCCCTCACTCATAAATCCACACTTTCAGCTCCCACAAATGGTTCGCAGAACTTGCTCCACACCGACCACTATCATACAGGCCTAAGAAACCCATGCCCCAAAGCCGCTAAAGCAGAAGGTATGAGACGGGGTGGGGAGGTAAACCTACAAACGCGGGCAAAAGAAAAGGAAATGGAAGCTAGAAACCCCTCAGCCCCGTTTCCAATATCAGACACGTGAGAGGCAGCGAGCAACAGTGTAGTAAAAAAGCCATCTTAGCAGCAGCCAAAGGTCTGCCCAGAAGAGCAGGGCAAGAATAAATTATGCAAAGTAGGTGGTAAGTAGGTGCCAACCCTGGAAACAAATAAAGCTCCTGCCTTCATGAAATACCCCACCAGTGCCAGTGCCAGCATGGGGCAGAATCCTCCCGTGAGCTCAAGCTCAACTCTGATTCAGGACAGCGATGAAGACAAAGGTGACAGGTGGAAGGGACGATGGCTGGGGGCCCTGCTGCATGCAGCACAGTTCTGACCTGTGTAATCGAGGCCCAGGGTGAGGAGGGGCTTGCATGGGCGCTCAGGACGGTCTGTCCAGATTTTGTCCACAAGGTTCTCTTTGACAGGAATGAGGTGGTGGCCTGCACTTCTCAGAACCTTGGCCATCTTCTTCCAGTAATCTGGGGAGAAATACACGTGGCCCAGCCATGCATGAACTGAACGCCATCTCGGCCAAGGCAGGCAGCAGAGCCTTGAGAGCCAGCGCCTTCTGAAAGGCGATCCTCCCGTGGCCTAGTGCTGGGTGCATAGGACGCAGAACTGCAAAGAGGTGATCTTCACCACCAACCGCCTTCCCCTGCCTCTCTGCCAGAACTCCTCTCCTCACCTTGATCTTTACCATGACGTCAAGTCACACCGAGCCCCCAGAGGATCCACGTCCCACAAACAAAGAAGGACAATGGAGAGGCATCTAGAACCCACTTCCTCACCCAAGCTGGAAGGACGCCAGCTCACTCACCAGTAGGAATGATCAGTGGGTCCACACCAACCCTGGATCCTTCAGGAAGTACACTCACCAGCCAGTCTTCCTGAGTGGGTGTGTCCTTCAGACCTACAGAGGGAAGAACAGAGAAGAAACAATTCCCAGTGGAACCAAGCTCACGGTCCTACCCAGAAGGAAGCAATTCACCAACATCATGATAACAGGGCCTTTATTAAGCACCTTCTCTAAGGTAGATGGGTGGCACATGAAAAAATCTGAACTTCCCTTAATCCTGGAAGGCTGCAAGAAGTATAAAATGGTGTGTTTTTCTTTTTCTTTTTTTTTTTTTTTTTTTTTTTTTTTTGAGAAAGAGAGAGAGAGAGAGAGAGAGGAGGGAATGCACAAGCGGGGGGAGGGGCAGACAGGGAGAGCGAGAGTCCCAAGCAGGGTCTGTGCTGTTGGCGCAGAGCCCAATGCGGGGCTCAATCTCATGAACCGCAAAATCGTGACCTGAGCCGAAATCAAGACTCAGACGCTTAACTGAGTCACCCAGGTGCCCCTTAACACCCAGGTGTATTAAGACGGAAGCATACGATAAAGTAAGAAGACAACAAAAAGAAAAGGCAAGATTTTCATTCGACTCCTGGTCAAAACAGCACCCCCGGAATCACTGCAACATAGGTACACGTGTCACTGCAAACAACATCTTCTCCGCCATCGGTCACTTTACCACCAGTGGTCACTTGAAGAGCACTTGGGTGGTGACTGGTGAAGGCTGGGAGCTGGGGGCCTCCCTCACATCCCACACCAGGTAAGAGAAACACACGCCATGGTACTCTCCCCTCACTGGAAGGGAGGGTGGCAGAGAGAAGGCTCCCGCCCCTCAACCAGGTCTGACTGGAGGGCTGAACACAAGCCTTTGCAGCAAAGAAATCTTTCCAAAGATTAAGACAGGAACACACAGGTACCCGTCACCATCATCTTTACAATGGCTCCCTGGCTTTCCAACTCCTGAGAGCAAACAGCCCTTCCCGTTTCTTCCGAGCGATTCGTCATAGGACACCAAACAAGCTCCAAGAAAGGAACTGAAGTTATTTTTGATATTCCAGTTTTTCTTTAATCCAAGCCAATACCTTCTATGTTTGGATGCGTGCTTCTTAACTGATGAGATTTTTACTAAAAACTTAACAGCTTGGTGAAATACATGTATATTTAGAGTGAAAGTTCATATATTCTAAACCAGTACTTATCTTCACTATTTTCCCTACGGACTGCTGATAACCACATAACCACAGAGGGGAAGTTCGAAGATTTATAAAGAAATGAGCTCACGAACTTCAATTCCAAAAACTGCCTAAAAGCTGGCACTGAGCTGTTATTTTGCTATTTGACTCTTGGCTATTTTTTTCCCAAACCACTAAAAAGCCACTTACTAACGAAGTTTCTTTTAATGCCCCTCGTATGACTTTTATAGGATGAAGTCATGCTATTTCCTAGCAGACAGATATCTGGCAAAACCCCAGGGATGAATCACTCCCCAACCAAACCCACCAGAATTTCCCTATGCAGGAGAAATGCCTGAGGAAAGAGGGGCTCAGGCAAACTAGAGACAGACGTGGAAAGAAGGAAGATTCATTCCCTGGGGAAACCAAATACCTACTTGAAGGAATGAGCAGAATTTGCTCCTCTGACACTCTGCCCCCCCGCAAAGTGCTAACAGACCTGACAGCTGGAGATGTGGGCTCCAAGGAGAGATGCCCATACCCCAGGGGTACACTGACTGATCCACCAGGGCGCAAACAGAAAATTTTAGGAGGTCTATTTGTATTCATTTTTTCTAAAAAACAAAGAAATTAATTTTTGTTCACATTTGAAATGCAGATGGACAGCAGCACGTATATCTAAACACATAAACAAGTATACATATATGTTGAGGGTGCATGAGCCATTAACGGAGGCATGCAATCAGAAAGTTTAAAGATCACTAGCCTGTTCATTTATAACAGCCCCACAGCCCCGAATGCATGCTTGTGTGTGTGTATGTGCACGTAAATGTGAGAGAAAGAGGGTTTTCTGGTGCCATGACCTGGATGGTGTCTCCCAAATTCACATGTTGAAGCCCCAACCTCAATGTGACTGTATCTGGACAGAAGGATTTTAGGAGGTAATTAAGATTAAATGAAGTCAAAAAGGTGGAATTCTAATCTGATAGGATTGGTGGCCCTTTAAAAAGAAGAAAAGAGATCTATCTCTCTGCCGTATGAGGACACAGTGAGAAGGCAGCCGTCTGCAAATCAGGAGGAGGGCTGACACCAGAACCTGACTATACTGACACCCTGATCTTAGACTTCCAGCCTTCGGAACTGAGAAAACAAACTTGTGCTGTTTAGGCCACCTCGTCTCTGGTATTTTGTTATGGCAGCCAAAGCTGACTAAGATACCCTCAAAAGGGTCCATGACCTCATAAAACCCTAGGGTCCCTTCCCAAAGCTGGCCAACTGAATTTGGGCTGGCCATGTCTCTACACACCCATCTTCATGAGCGTCCAGTTGCTGTCCATCTGCTTGGCAGCCTGGAGAAAGTAACGTCCGTCGGTCCACATGGCCGCATGCTCTTCCGTAATGATGGCTGTGCCTGCAGCAGGGGAGTAAACAAACAAAAGAGAAACGTTTCTGACAACCACGCAGAAGCTGCACACGGTGGTGGCAGGCAGGCAAGCACAGTGAGCCCTGGGGCCCAGCCTCCCACCACCCCTCACTCCAGCGGCGCAGATGGGCCTTTGACTCCAGAGAAAGCTCCAGGGCAAAGAACACAAAGCCACTGAGAACAAGCTGTGGGCCAAGCTCTGAAGGCTGCCTGAGGCCTGGTCCCTGCACAGTACCCCATTTGCACAGCTCGAGTCAAGGCCAAAAGAACAGAGGACTGTGCACCTATGGTCAAAATGGCCTCATAATCAACAACACGGAGGTGAAAACGATTCCAGCACGGTGATCTGCTCTACTCCAGAGGAATGGTCTCACCTTTTCTGAGAAACCCACTGGACTCTACATATTCACGGTGACTCACTGGTCACCAGCAGGGGTTGACATCTCCCACCCCTACCTGCCCTCAGTTTCTACAGGCCTGGCAGAACTCAAGGCTTTCAGCAGAGGTGCCAGCCAAAAGCAATCCTAAGGGGCCAGCCAACACAAGCACATACACAAAAGGAAGTGGTTCTTGCCAAGTCTAGCCTAATGATGGGAGTCTGAAGGGGGAAAAATCACCCTAAAACTCAAGGACAGGGCAGTTTTGGAAAAGTTAGGGCAGGGCACCAATGTAGCTCAATGTTCACCTTTATTATTTAAGTTTTTTAATGTTTATTTATTTATTTATTTATTTATTTATTATTATTTTTTAATTTTTTAATATTTATGTTGGAGACAGAGAGAGACACAGCATGATCAGGGAAGGGGCAGAGAGAGAGAGGGAGACACAGAATCTGAAACAGGCTCCAGGCTCTGAGCTGTCAGCACAGAGCCCGACACGGGGCTCGAACTCATGAACCGTGAGATCATGACCTGAGCCGAAGTCGGATGCCCAACCGACTGAGCCACCCAGGCGCCCCTGTTTATTTTTGAAAGGGAGAGAGAGCCTAAGTGGGGGAGGGCCAGAGAGAGAGGCAGACACAGAATGCCAAGCAGGCTCCAGGCTCTGAGCTGTCAGCACAGAGCCTGACACAGGGCACAAACCCATGAACCGTGAGATAACGACCTGAGCCGAAGTCGGACACTTAACCGACTGAGCCACCCAGGTGTCCCCACCTTTATTATTTACACTGAAAGTGAAATTACCCAGAAGCCAAGCAAGCACTTGGAGAATTACACAGGACCAGCAAGCTAAGGTGAGGGTTCTGGGGTACAGTTAGTGACCATTACTTATAGAGTGCCGTTGACACAGGTATCTTCAGTTTAATTAATACGGTTTTCTGTACGTATATTATTTTCAATGAAAAGTTCAAAAACATTTTTTAAACGAAAATTACTTAAAACTGTAAGAGCAAATAAATAAATAAATACAATAAAACTTTAATAGCAAAAGTGTAGAGAAAAGGGCCACTAAAAGCTGACCTTAGGGAACTGGGGGATGCTGGGAATTCACACCTTTCTGCAGAGGTTCAAGGGCGAGTGCCCGGCTTGCATTCTCTTTTGGGTCCTATCACAGGCTGAAGCCTGGCCCCGTTATTTTTGGGAAGTGAACAAAAGTACAGAAAGAACAGACAGAGAAGTTAGCAACTCACCCGCAGAGCCATCAAATCCAGAGACGAAGGCCCGCCGACAGTCACACGGAGCAATGTACTCACTCTGGAAAACAAAAGGGAGGGCGAACTGGACCTCAACCAGTCACGTGCCAACTGCGCTCCACGTGCTCAGCTACGTGCGAGGCCCCGCAGGGACACGAAGGCTGGCGGACCTTCAAGGAACAGTCTAGCTAAAAAGTCAAACTGAACTTGAAAAAAATTAGCGCACAATCCAGAAGACCCCAATTAATTAAGGGCTAAAAGAGCTGCTCCTGCCAGCCTCTATTTCTTCTTCTGCAGAACAAAGAGAGTCAGGATGAAACAGATCAAAACTGCTCTTTCCTCACTGAGATCTTGAAAAACAAACCAGTAGCCTTCTCCCTTCCTTGCCACTGGCATTTAGGCATCTGTTATTTTTCTGAAAAGAAAGGCTGAATTTCTGTTTTAGGCGTCAATAGTTCTCTCACTTAGATCTCTTTGGCATTGGCTTGTTTCTGAACTTCCTGAAGTGTGTGTTCTTCTCCAAGGTAGCAGCCCCAATCGCTCCCACGCAGACCCTGTCCCTTCCTGTTGGGGAATAAATGGAAACGCTTCCTCAATGAATCCAGGAGGCTTCAGCAAAAGAAAACGTCATGTCCCAAACCAGGTCTTGCCCATCCCCCTGCCTCTAAGCGGAAGGGGTTAGAGACTGTGGAACACAGAAGGTTCTCATTCCTGTGCAGAGGGCACAGGGCCGTGGCATGCTACTTCTGGTGACAGCCCATGACACACAGAGAACGAAGGAATCTCCCCAAGGTCACGCAAGTAGCAGAGGCAGGATTTGAACTTGGGCTCTGAAGCGCCAGGCCATGCTGCTCCCACAGGACACATTCTCCCTCTCCAGGATATAGCGAAGTGTGAAGACAGACTCTCTAAGCAGCTTGCCCACTCACAGGTCAACAGCACGGCCCAGATCTGGCACGCGCACCTCCACAGCTGCTGCTCCTTCTACCGTTAGCGGGTTTCTCCCGAGCTAAAGGACCCGGCAGGGCTCAGAATGCTGAGGACGGAGAACGGGGCTGCCGGACCAAGGCGTTTTTAGGTCAACACGATGAAGGGGTGAGAAGCCGTCGATGTTCTGCTCCTGCCCCTTTCACCAGGGCAGCTGCAGTCACAGCCTCAAACCAGGCACAGGCACACTACCCACGGAGATGCCGGAGGGCCAGTACAGAGAGCCGTGACAGGTCTAGGTCACACCTGGCCTCCAGCAGGCCCAGCTCTCTGCAACAAGTCTCACTGCGTCTCTCAGGCTCAGTTGTTCATTTCTAAAACAGGTCCCTTCACACCGCTGAAAGCAACACCAGGCGCATGTTTTATCCCCAAACCATAGAGGAACATTTAACAGGCAGCACGAAGAATGCAGAAGGAAACGGCCGCCAGCAGCATTTATGAACTGGAGACTTCTCATTTGATTATAAACCCAGCAATCACTGGGTGCAAAACTAAAGAGAAGTAAAGCAAAAACGGAGGGTAGGGAGGAGTTCCCACCCTTCTCCTAGGATTGCTGTGAAGAACAGTAAGTTAATGTTTAAAACAGAAAACTCACCAGAAACCTGAGAGTGCTGCATATATGCAATGGAACAGACAGTATCAGTTTCTTCCTAGATGCTGAAAAAGCATCCAAGAGGCCGGGAAAACTAAGTAAACAAAAATAACTCTTATACTAAAAATCACAGTACACAATGGAGAAGACACAGGAGATGCTCCTGATGGATGAGGAGGGTCCCCTGCTTGAGGCTCATCCACCTGTGACACACAGTGAGATTGCCAGCAAAGGGCTGGCAGAGAAGGTATTGCTCATCTCGGCCCGGCTAGTCTCCACTCAGGGATCAGCTCTCGAGGAATGTCCCACCCCTACTGGGGCAAGCCCGAGAGGAGGGACAGGGCCTCTCAAAGCAGCTGCCCATTGGCAAAGGCGGGAGGCAGGTTTCTCCAAAAGGAGGTGGAATTAACGGCAGGTGGACATGTTTGGTTTGGGATCAAGACGAGGTCTGGGCAAAAATGTCTAGACATGACCTAAGTAGTCAACATGCCAGAAAGCCGTCACTGACCAAAGCTGTCACCTCCACACCAACAGGCTAGGCAGAGAGGCCAGACAAGCACTGGGCCTGGGCCTCCCACTCTTCCCCCAGCAATGAAGCTGGCAAAACCCAAGAACACTCTCCCCAGAGAACAGCAAAAGGTCTAAAACAAGCCAAAGCCTTAGCATACGGGGGAAAAGGCACAAGGAAGCAGAGCTATCGGCTTTCTCTCCAAAACCACCGTTTCTCTCCACCTGAGACCAGCATTCAATCCAAGCCTCCACCATCTCCCCATGGACCACGAACCCTACAATCCATTCTTCACACACACAGAGTGAGCTTTCCAAAATGTCTGTATGCACCATGTTAGCACCCTGCTCAAAACTCACCATAGCTTCCCGTCATACTTAGGATAGAACCCAAACCCAGCCCATCCCCAATGCACTGCTTGATCGGACACTGCTGTCCTCTCAGAACTCCCCTCCACTCTCCCAGCCACCCGAGATGTTCAAGCCACCTCGCCTGCTTTCTGTATTTTGTATTTCCAAAGCTCATTCCTACTTCAGGGCCTTTGCACATGCTTTTCCTTGTGCCTATCAAAGTCCCTTTCTGATCATGGCATGGCCAGCTCCTTCTCATCATTACACTGCAGATCAGATGTCACCTCCGCAGACGGGCTTGCCTGGACTATCCAAAGTGGCCACCTGGCCTTTACCTCTCTGTATAGCACATTTTTCTAGATGCTTCTCTTCTTGAGCTTTTTTTATATCATTATGGTATTATCTTGCCCCAAAATACCAGTTGCATGAGATGGGGATATTTGTCTTTGTTCATCACTGTCCCTGTCCCTATCATGGTATAGGTATAGGTAACCTATCATGGTATAGGTAACACACAGTAGGTCCTTAACCAACATTTGCTGAATAAATGAACAAGCAGGGGCGCCTGGGTGGCGCAGTCGGTTAAGCGTCCGACTTCAGCCAGGTCACGATCTCGCGGTCTGTGAGTTCGAGCCCCGCGTCAGGCTCTGGGCTGATGGCTCAGAGCCTGGAGCCTGTTTCCGATTCTGTGTCTCCCTCTCTCTCTGCCCCTCCCCCGTTCATGCTCTGTCTCTCTCTGTCCCAAAAATAAATAAACGTTGAAAAAAAAAAATTTTTTTTTTAAATAAATAAAATAAATAAATAAATAAACGAACAAGCAGAAGGAAACATGAACCTTTGTCCTTCAACCTAGTTAAAACCTTAGCCATCTCTTTGAAGATGGAAGAAGGGACACAACACAAGAAATGCAGGTAGCCTCTAGAAACTGGAAAAGGCAAGGAAATAAGATCTTCCTCTGGAGCCTCCAGAAAAAAAACATAGCCCTACTGACCCACTGTAGACTCCAGACCTCCAGAACTGAAAGATAATAGATTTGTGTTATTGTAAGCCACTAAGTTTGTGGTAATTTGTTACAGCAGCAGCAGGAAACTAATACATTATCAAGACCAGAAGGGATCATTAACTGGGGTTTCAAACTCATTAAATGTGTTAGGGTACAGGCAAGTAAACTAAACAAATAAAGCAGGATAAGGAAGTGACTCTTCCAGAGAGAGCAGCTCTTCTCAGCTCTGAATTCTGTTATGCCGGAATGCAGGCCGCATGTTGCCAACCCTCAGTAATTCAGGAGAGGCTAAATATATGTGTTCACGAGAGATCACCCAACTTTTAAGTGTTGACATCTAATTCAAACAATGTAAATAATACACAGCCAAATAAGGCACATCTGTAAACCAGAAAAGAAGAGGAAAAAAAAAAAAAAAAAGCCTTAGCCATCTCTCAAAATCCAGCTCAAATATGCCCTCTTCCACAAAGTTTTCTGACCCACTCCACTCAGAGACCTCCCACATCAGAATTTTACAGAAGCATCCACACTGACATTTGTCCATGCCCTGCCTTGGGTGATAACAGATACTAGTAGCTACATTTACTAAACCCCTACTATATTGCCAACAACTGTATTTCCATCTAGGACTTCATTTCCCATGCCCCCTTGCATCTAAGTGGGCTCAAGTGAGTAGTTCTCATAAATGGAATGTGGGGTCGAGGTGATGTCTGGGTCAGGAGAGTAAAAACTGGGTGTGCCCTCTCCACACTCCTCCCCCTTCCACCAGCCGGAATGGTGGCATCAGAGGATGGAAAGAGCCTGGAGCTCCAAATCGCTCTCTTACTAGTGGAAGAAAGTCAGCCACCAACCAAGAACACCCATTCCAGACTGCTACATAAACAAGAGTTAAGGCTCCACAGTACCCGGCCACTGAAACGTTGAGATCTGTTACCATAGCTAGCATTACTCTAATTAATATAGTGGATAAAATCACTCTGTGATAAAAATCACTGCTCCACCCTAGGAGAGAGTCTGTTTAAGAAATACAAAACAGGAAGCCAACTCCAGGAAGAATGGGAGTAGGACAGAGTTTAGGAAAATCTGATTCAAGTCTTCCAGAAGGAAGAACCATAAAAATAGCCAAAAACTCAAGTTGGCACAGTCACCTCTGACAGAACATGAACCTTCGATTAAACTACCCCCAAGAACAGAATATAAAGCCTTACAGATGGGAAGGATAAAGAATTTGGATTTCTGAAAGGCAGAGCTGGCACAGCTCTGGCCCCAACCAATGATTCTCCTGGTGTGGGGCCAATGGCGCCCACAAATCCCAATGTTTGACTTAGATGGTACATGAAAGCATCCAGATTACCAGAAAGAATGGACAATTCCTCACCTCAAAAGTCTCTCTGGGCCCAAACTCATGATACGGCAACCCTTATTCTGGGTTTACAGAGAAAGAACCCCTCAGAGTTGCAGAGGACAGTGAGGACCAGGCCCCTGGACTGCCAGGTCCCCGTGTAATTATGCATTTGGGGTGCATTTTCTCTCTAGCACGGAACAGTGCGTGGGTGTGTGTATTTGTGTTTTGGAAAGTACACAAAGGACAGAATTCAAGATTTTCCTTCATTCTCCAACA